AGTTGGGAGTATAAAATTCATACTCCATTTCTCTTTCATTCTCTGTCTATTGGCAAGTCTTGTTGGTTCTATCTTAAATTTATATGGAATCTCTCTCTTTACCCACTAAGACTCTTAGAATAATCTAGACTTCTTTTATTTCCAGACGACATTTGTACCTATTAGCCTCCAAAAGGAGCTTTTACTTTGTACCCACCAAGAGCCATACACCTGCTGACCTACCTTGAAAGTTGAAGATCTTGGTCAATTTTTCCATAAAATATCTAAATGACTGCTTATTGCCTTAGCCAACATGTTTCAGCTATGTTTCTTGAAACCTTTCCTGGTTTTACTGCTGTCTGGCGGGGGGCCCTGTATTGAGTTGTTTAACTTCTCTGGAGGATAATATGTAGTAGCAAAAGTAAAGAAAACAACTTGAATAAAATAGTTATAATTATGCCCTATGCTCAATACATATTGTTCACTATTTTTATAAATGTCTCACAGCCTACAAAACCTTCTGTGGTTAGACTCATGTAGATCAAGGGTTCAGATTAAACAAAGTATACCAGTTTTTAATGACTCCAAAATTAGAATATCATCTTTCCCTCAAGAAACTATTTCCCTACTTTGAAGTATTTATCACCATCCATAATTGTCTTTTTCTTTTGTTTTTTGCCTATCAACTCACTGAGATGTTAAGCTCCACAGAGAAGGAAGTGTCTAGTTCTCTCTCTCTCTCTCTCTCTCTCTCTCTCTCTCTCTCTCTCTCTCTCTCTCTCTCCCTCCCTCCCTCCCTCCCTCCCTCCCTCCCTCCCTCCCTCTGTTCCTTCCTTCCTTCCTTTGTTTCTTCCATTATAAATACAGTAAGCAGCATAGTGTTTGTCACATAGAAGGAAGGATTTGTTATATAGTTGTTGGTAAAATAATCAATGAATCTCACATTCTTAAGATCTTTGGAGATTTATGATGTATTCATTTCACATCCATTTTAACTCTAAGCATAATATAATGCTTATTTATGCTATTTTGTCTACCACATGGGAAGATTTTCTCTCATGTGTTCCTTATAATTTCTATGTACAGATTAAACTGGAAACAGGAAAGAAAAATGTCCATAACAAAATTTCTTCAATGTATAAGCTTCCTCATATTTTAACAATGTGCTTTCAGAGTAAAATTTATGATCTTTACAAAAGGGTAATTTGAAGCATGATATTTTGCTGGAATATTTTGATCCCACTCACAGGTTATTTATTGTTTACCAACCCGAAAGGCCTTAAAAGAAGCTTTCAGGATGAACAATAGGATGGCCTTATAAGAGAGTTAATTTATATGTAATCAACAAAAACTATAAGATGCTGCACACTGCTGGTCATTAGCACTTTTTTTGTTTTTTTGTTTTTTTGTTTTGTTTTTTTGTTTGTTTGTTTGTTTTCGAGACAGGGTTTCTCTGTGTAGCCCTGGCTGTCCTGGAACTCACTCTGTAGACCAGGCTGGCCTCAAACTCAGAAATTTGCCTGTCTCTGCCTCCCAAGTGCTGGGATTAAAGGCATGCGCCACTACTGCCTAGCTCATTAGCACACTTTTATCTAAAATAAATAATTGGTAGAAATGCACCTAATAAAAATATAGATCATAATAATATGAATTGCTTGCATGTAAAATACTGAGCAGTACTCGATATAATATTTTATTTGTGTGGGATTTTATGTATTTTTACTTCAGTACTTTAAATATTTATCTTCTTGGAATTCAGTGTACCATTTTTGTTAGTACTCTCAAAAAATATTTTCTTTAGAACAGAAAATACTGTTAACAAAGGAGTTGGTTTTTTCTTTCTATTGTATGCTTACTTTATGCTCGGCTTTTCCACTAAGTAACTTTAGCCAGCTTTTCTAGTCTAGTCCTTCTATGAGACAGTATTGAATGGTTGAAATTTTATGATCTCTTGATATCTTGGAAACTTTTATTAAGTTTTATTAAGAAGATAAATATTAATTTCCTTCTACCCCTTTAATGTATAAATGACTAATGTCTTCAACTAAGTGATAAATGTAAGATTTCTTCAGATTAGTTCCATTCATTGTGTAACTATTTCAGACTTAGACGTACATTTTCTGAAATTTTCCTCACACAGAAACAGTAATGGAAAGTTGAAGCCTCTTAAGGAATCTTCCTCTTGAGTTTTTCCTCTCCACTCACTGTTAAATTATATTGTCAGGCTAGTGCAGTGTTACAGTTGGATTATGGTTTGACTGGAATAAATTAGTTAACATCTAGCAAGTATTTCTCTTATAGTCTATTAAAAATCATTAGCTTAAAAATTTGGCTCATTTTACTAGTTAGTAGAACTAATTTCTACCATCTCATTAAAATAAATTATATACATGTAAATATAAGAGATCCTTAGACTCAGATAAATAATTCTCTTAAATCAGATACTGTTTTGTTTTGTTTTGATATTCTTCAGCAGCCCTTAATACAGTGAATATTAGGGAACAAGTATATTATTGCTGTTTGACTCTTAAACTGTAATTTCAAACTGTGGTGGGCTCAAGATTGGTATTTTAAAAGGGATGGAGAAATGGTTCAATGGTTAAGAGCATTGGTTGCTCCTCCAGAGGTTCTGGGTTCAATACCCAACACCTTTAAGGTGGCTCACACCCATCTGTAACTCTAGTCCCAGGGGATCTGAAACTTTCTTCTGTCCTCCAAGGACCTAAGGCATACAAGTGGTCCACATACATACATCTAAACAAAACACTCATACATATAAAATAAAAATAAGCTAGTCTTTAAAAGTAATATTTCTCAAAAGAAAATAAAGGACAGTTGGGTGATTCTCAAGATCAAAAAATTAGAATTCTTTTCTGAGTAATTTAATTATTATTATAATTATTATTTATTAATGTTCTATAGAATTTAATTATCTAGAACCACTGCAAAGAAGGTGGTAAGGTGGTAGAGATTAAGGGCCAGTAGTAAAGGGTAGCAGGACACAAAGGAGATACTCAAGTATGACCTGCAACCCAGCTTTCAGAAGCATGCATGAGTCCTGGGCCTTCATTGGCTTGCTTTGTACAAAGTGATAGCTGTAAGAGAAACTAAGCAAAATACTTTTTACATTGCAATGGTTAAAATAAAGAGGGATGGATGAAGCAGAAGGGTATGTGGACACCAGTCCACACAAACAGACTTGTCAGGATGGTATGCAGAAGGGGAAGTGAGAGGGGATGCTCAAGAAAGACCAAGTCATAACCTGATGGCAAGGCCCTATTGCTGAAGATAACAACTTACTTATGTTATTGAATGTGGAGACATTGAGTTGGTGCCCAACTAGAAGCTACTACTGGTAAATCTTTATGGTGTTGGAAGATACTGTACATACTACTAAAGGAGAAAAGTAATACATTTCACCCAGTTTCAAACCCTGTGACCTATAACAGAGACCTTCCTGCAAGAAATACTGGTACAGTGGTAGCACAAATGTAATAGAAATAACCAGCCATTTTGTAGTGAATTTACTTTACGGTTATCCAACCATAAAAACATTTGACTTCTTTGGGCCCTATCATTTGTAAGGCATCTACATTGTTTCTTTGATATATCTCACAGACTGTTAGGGCTTTTTATTTGTAGCTAGTACATACCAGATGAGACACACAATGCATTATATAGCTACAGTTTGCTGAAAGAGTTGATCTTTAAGGAATTGTTTTCCAGATGTTAGTATTTTTTTCTTTCAACTATGAGAAAAGAAACATTAGAAGTATAGTTCTTCTCCAAGTCTGTAATATACTCTGATAAAAAAAAAATAGACTGGAGTGGGAACAAAATCCATGTTTTTTATTTAAGTGTCTCTTTTCTGGAACATTTTTATGGAATTTATAGAAAAATCACTAATTTTGCGAATATTTGTCAGACTAGGAAGTTATACTTTTTCTCCTTTTATGTAAATCTCTAAGAGCAGTTTTCAGAAGGTGCAACATGGACCTATGACTTATCTAATCTGTTCTTGGCAATTTTAATAGTGTCGTATATAGGTTCCATCTCACCAAGGTGGGAATGGGAGAGAAGACTGAAGAGGGGAATATGGGCTGGAACAACTTAGTGCTAAATTTAAACTTTTGTTTCAGGCTAGCCTCCTGGTATGTTTGTAGTTGTACATCAAAGAGTAAATGGTTGACTCTCATTTTCTCTTTGTACCTTTTATTAATCAAAACTTCCTTGTGAACTATAACATGGCTAAATTTTCTTTAAATATTTTTGTTTTACAAGAAGCTGTGTGATTTAGTAGAAATAATTTAGAGAACTGGGTTGCCTACTTGAACAGGTCATGAATATGAAATTCAGCAAATGATTTTGACCTTTAATGGCTGATAAATTCCTGAATATTTCCAAAAGAAACTTTTAATGAGCATTAACCAGAACAAGATGCTTTAGTCATCAGCAGAGCCAAATTTATGCTCACATGTTGTTAGAGAATGGGTAGTTTCTTTTTTCATATACAGGCATCTTGATAACCATCTGCTTGAGTGTCATAGTATTAATGTGAGCATAAATTATAAGCTTTTTTCTAAGTTGTAAACTTGGTCAGTAACTCTTAGCATTGCAGAAAGACAAAAATTCTTCTTTCTGTACATAACAAACTAATATCTATATAGTTTTGAAAACAGACCCTTAAAATGGAGCCTGAATTTGCCACCTCTTGCTTGACTTTTATATTACCCCTTATTAAGGAAATTTCTGAAATCCAAGGTCCATTGAGATTATTAATTTAGAGATTTTTTTTTCTAACGGGCATTTAAAGAAATAAGGAGTAATGATTTCATTTAGGATAATGAGTTTGGATGGTTTTGGTTATTTTTATTTTGGGGTGTAAATATTTTTGAAATTATAGTACTTGTCTTTTAAAATATGAGTCCAGTGAAATTAAGCTCTTCATATGGCTGTGATTTCTGTAGGTCTAATCTTGGTTTGTTTTTCATACCCATGTATTCATTCATTGCATTTCTCAGGAGGTTTTATGAAGACGGAGCCATTGTCTTGGGTGAAGAAGCAAATATGCTTGCTGGCATGCTGCTTGGACTCAATGCTATTGACTTCAGGTACTCACTGGTCAGCTAAATGTTCATACCAAATTCTTTCTACTCATGAGGTTTCCTTTTTTCTAAGTATAACACAGTTGGACTTTAAGATTTGATTTCTGTTGCTTTCAAACTTAATTCTTAAGCTGACTGAAAGGAGTAAGTAGACTCCATCCAGCAGCAGGACTTTGCTGGCAGGAAGAGAAATTTCTGGATCTTCAGCTACTGCTTTAAAATGTAAAGAAATAGATTTCAAGCAAACTTAAAGTAAGCAAAATTCTCCTTTACCCATGTCTTGATAGAGAAAATTCTGTGAGGATGTCTTAGGTATACTTCTTGAATTATTAATATTAATTTAAAATAGAACATATTATTAATTTTCCCTTTATTCTCAACAAGGTGAATCAGTGTTAGACCTATAACAAGTGCTAAGAATGTTTATAGTTAAATTACTTTCAAGATTCTGAAAACATAATTTTGTATTCAATTTATCTCATTATATGTTAAATTAAAAGTAAAAAGTTGTAAGAGGTCTCAAAAACAAAAATGAAAGAAGAATATTTTTATACATAGAATCATTTGAAAAATCCAACAATAGTAACAAAACAAGACCAATATCACTTTTGGGTTTTGACTTTAATTATTTGACTTTAGATTTTTTTAATTTTAAAGGAGGTTACCTTTTTCTAGTAACTTACGTTCTCTTTAAAATATTTGTCATTTCATAGGTCTGGATCTCCCCTATTTGTGATTTAATGAACTAGTATTAGCTTAATTTTAGGATGAGCATCATAAAGTCTGAAGGTTGTCTCTTTAAGTCTTCTATGGTATTTATTTATTTGTTGTATGTATGTATGTATGTATGTATGTATGTATGTTGTGTATGTATGTGGGCACACAAGTCACAAGTACCACAGTGTGCATGCAGAGATCAGAGAACACCTTTAAGGATCCTGGTTTCTCCTTTGCCATGAGGGTCCTGAGAGTTGAACTCAGGTCATTGGCATTGGAAGCAGGCGCTTTTACTCACTGAATGATCATTCACAGCCTGAAGGCCGTGTTTGTGATACTCAGGTATTGCTAACTCGTTATATAGGGGGCCCTGTCATCTTAGTCCTTTAATTCCATGTTTTATGTTTGATTTTTTTCTTTTCTAAAAATTTTATTTTACATTCAGACCACAAAATTCCACATTTGGCCACTCATGGCCATATTATGGTGTAAAATACATATAGTCTAACTTTTAAAGTTCCCACAGTCTTTAACAATTCCAACAGTGTGCAGAAGTCTCAAGATTGAAGTGTCTTCTCTGTCTTAAGACAGTCTTTTGACTGTGAACCACTGTTAAATAAAGAAATAAATTACATACTTCTAACATACAATGATACATTCCCATTCTAAAAGGGAAGAATGCAAACATATTGAGATTAGATTGAAGCAGGAACTTCAACAGGCAAACACCAAATCCTGTAGTTCTATGATCAGTGTCTGTGGCTTTAGTTTCAAAGGGCATATGGATCCGTACCTCCATATACCATGCAGCCTACAATATATGCCACTCTCTTGGGATGTCTTCACTCCTGGTCTGCTGCTCTCCTCAAAATATATTTCATGGCAGTGATATATCCACCATCTTAGGGTCTATACTATAACCTTCACAGCTTCATGCAATGGCCTCCTAGGGCCTCTTTCTAGGGACTCCAGCCTGACACACTGTCACACATTGCCTGCCACCAGCAGCTTTCTGAATTCTTGGGAAAAAGAGTCTCAGATCCCCCTCAGACTTGCATCTGTTATGACATCACTGGAAGTCATGCTTAGTTCTGCTAAGTTCTGCCTTCAGTGTGGTGTGGAGCCTGGCCTTCTAGGACCTAGTTGTAGCAGATTCTGTATGCTAAAACAGGTTGTTGTTGTTTTTTAAATCTCTTTAGAGTTGTTTTCCAATAGCAGGAAATCTATCCAGCTCTCTCCTTTCCAAAGTCAGAGCCTTTGTTGTGTGGGCTCTTGCCCTCGGGTACCTTTCCTGTTGCTCAGGGGAGAGCAGAAGGCTTCTCCTTAATGGCACTAATCTCTCTAGCAATTAGTGTTTTTAGTCTTGACTGGAACCTTAAGCTTCCCAATGCTCTTTTCCTCTCCAAACTGCACATTTCTCTGCCTCAGCGCCATGTGTTCCTTTTCCTTGTAGGATGGAATAAGCTCAAACAATAAGTGTTCCACTAAATGCTGTACTTTCTTGAAATTTCTTCTGCTAAGGAAATTAATTCAATACCTTTAAATTCGGTCTCTCATAAGTTCTCAGAATATGAGCCAAATGCAGATTCTTTGCCAAAATAACACATTCATGTTAGAATCGTTCTTTTTCTCTGAAACCTCATTAGCTGAGTCTCTACTGTCCAAGTTTCTCTGGCTTGCTATTGCCAGGTAATATTGCTGTCTTCCAAGGTTCCATCAAAAGCCCTGGTAAGCTCTTGCTTATATCATTAATGGCTTTCGAGCCCAAATTCCTAAAGTCTTACACATTCCTCCTGTATAATAAAGGCCTAAAACTACATGGTCTGGTTTACCACAATGACTCATTTCTGATACTATTTATGTATTGGCCTCTTCTGTGTTGCTTGATAAAATTCCATTTTTTTAAACAAATTGGGAGAAGGCTTATGTTTTGATTTGTAGTTTCAGAGGGTTAGAATCCATTATAGCAGGGAAGACATAGCAAGTAGGGAAGACGGATATGGTGACTAGCAGATCACATTGCATCCCCACTCGGAAAGCAGAATGAGAACATCAGGTGGGGCGAAGCTACAAAAATGCAAAGCCCTCCCTCACTGACAGTTTCTTCCATCAAGACTTTTAAAGATTCCATAACCGTCTCAAATAGTGCCAGTGGGTTAAACCACATTGTGTGTGTGTGTACATGTGCATCCACAGAGGTCAGAGAACCTTTATGGAGTTGCTTCTTTCCTTTCACCTTTATTTGAGATCCAAAGAATGAACTACAATCACCAGGCAAATGTGTTTGTCTGCTGAGGCAACTCACTGGCTGACACTGTGTTATGAGTGAGAAAGCAAATACCTTAACATATGTTAGTAATATTTGTGAAAATGAAGGAAAGCTCATATAGAGTGATGCCACTTTAACTTTATTCTTATTCAAGCCTGGAAAAGCAAATATATACTCTTTGTATAAGTATGTTAAAAGGAATATTTTAACAATCAAACTTTGGAACAAAATTAGAAGAATGGAGTTCATAGGTGACTTCTTTTCCACTGAAATATTTTATAGGCTTTTTTTACATTTATATTTAGGGTTTGATTTTGTTGTTATTGATGTTTTAGTTGTTTTATGACATAGTTTTGTTTACAACTGGGATAATGTATGAATCACTACACCCAAATTTTTAGCAACAGTAATCATAAACCAAATACCTTTTTATCTTTTTGTATATTATACAAAAGTAGAGATTACCAGATTAGGGGTTAAGAGATTTAGATTTCCTTGAATTAGCATTGTGAGCATCACAGAATGCCCTTGGGCAAGTTGCTTAATCATGTCCTTGGTCTTATGATCTGAGAAGAAGATAATTAGAGATTAGAGGATTTTCAGCAGCACTTAGAAATCCAAGTTCCAAGCCTATTCACTTATTTAGATAGTTTAGAAAATTGTTGTTTGTTAATCAATCAGACCTTTCTAGGGGATATTCAGTGTCACTTGAGAATGTGTATTTAAACATGGAAAACAAATCTTTTTTGAACATTCTCTGGTGATATTTTGAATGCTCAGTAAAAATTAATATATTTCCAAATAGGAAAATGTGGTTTAGATTGTGTGGTGATTTGAATAATAAGAGTCCCCAGAGGCTCATATATTTGATTTCTTAGTCACCAGGGGGTTGAGGTGTTTGAAAAGATGACAAGGATTAGGAGGTGGAGCTTTTTTTGGAATAGGTGTGGCCTTGTTGGAGAGTGTGTTTTGAGGTTTCAAAATCCCATGCCATGCCCAGTGCGTGTCCTTCCTCCCCTCCCCTCTCTCTGCCCCCCCCCCCCCCCCCTTCTCCTTGCTCCCCCACCTCTGCTTATGGATCAGGATGTACTTCCGTAGCACACCCTTCTGCCACCATGCTCCTACTGTAATGATAATGGACTAAGCCTCTGCAACTGTAAGCAAGCCCCAAACTGAATGCTTTCTTATTGGTAAGAGTTGCTGTGGTCATGGTGTCGCTTTATGGCAGTAGAGCAGTGATTAAAACAAATTTATTTCTCAGTAAATTTTATTTTTGCTTTATGAAACATGTAATAATATACTATCTTGAATAATGTTTGTCATTGATATTGAAAATAGAACATTTAAGGTACTTATTTGTAACAAATAATTAAATTATGGAAAAATTCTTATGAGGCTGTAACTCTACTATTTATGTACTAATATGAGTGTTTGTCTGCTTTCTCAGCTTCTGCCTAAAGGGAGAAGGATTGGATGGCACCTTCCCTGCTGTAATAGACTATACACCATATTTGAAGTTTGAGCAAAGGTACTTGCCATTTTGAAAAGTTGTTGAAATCTTAATTGTAATTTAATGCTTTGAAAAAGTTTTATCTCATTTAAACTTTGTATGCAACATTCATTTTTTTACCAGAAACTATTAGTTAGAACTAGGAGATGACTCAATAAATAAAGTGCTTGCTTTGAAAGCATGAATTTCTTACTCAGTATCAGTAAAATTCATGTAAAAGATAGCCATGGTTACAAACCTGGGCAGATAAAGGTAGGTGATTCCCCAGGACTCATGGCAGGCAGTCCAGCTGAGCTAGTGAGCTGCAGAAAGAGACAGTCTCAAAAAATAAGGTAGAATGCCATAGAGAAAGAAACCCAAAGTTGACCTCTGCATGTGTGTGCCCGCACACACACACAAACACACACACACCACACACTCAGGGGGAAATATTGAGAGATTATTAGTGAGTGCAACCTCTAATTGCATTTTCAATATTTATGAAAATGTACAATTTTTATCTTAATCTTAGTGTGTAGCTTAAATAAAAATATCTATTTATATTACTATAGTAATTGTAAAAAAAAAATAGCAACTATCCCTGCTCTGAAATAATCCATTGAAACTTCAGAACTATAGTTCATCAGAGTGTGCTCCATTTTGTAAAAATAAACTTTACTATCATTTCTGGTGTAAAATTTCAGTTATTTTAAGTAAATTCAGTTATAAGTTCACTGACTCTTAACCTTTATGTTTATAAAATAATTTGTCTAGCAATTAATCTCACTACTAGTGTATGTAACATTGTGTAAGAACTCTGGATTCTTATAATTTCATGGAAAATTAAGAGAAATCTATAGATTTTTTTTAAGTTTCATTGAAAAATCATCTTGCAAATAGCATGAAAATCTATTATACTTAAACATTGTAGTCAGGCCAAAGTTATAAGTACTCTGTAAATTATATATACACATAATAAAGGTACGTAAGTATTCAACAAGTATGTGTTGCATATCTAATCTAGGAAAAACATTTTTTTCTCTCTGTCTCTCTGTGTGTCTCTGTCTCTCCTTTCCTTCCTTCCTTCCTTTCTTCCTTCCTTCCCTCTTTCTTTCTTTCACTCCTTCCTTCCTTCCCTCCGTATTTTCTTCCTTTCCTTCTTTCCTTTTTTGAGACTACATGGTCTCTCTCTGGCCCTGGCTCTTCTGGAACTCACTCTGTAGACCAGGCCAGCCTCTAACTCACAGACATCCACCTGCCTCTGCCTCCTGAGCACTGGCATTGAAGGCATGTGCCACTATGCCTAGCTTAAAAAGACATTTTCTTAAATGTCAGTGTGTGTGTGTGTGTATAAAACTTTATAAACTTCTGAATGAAAGTACAGTAAGAGATTTCAAGTAAAAATATTTGTAACTTTTTTGGGGGACATGTGATGACAGATCAGAACAATCATTCTACCTAAAAGTAGCTTGGTGTACCACTGACTTCCTTGGTATTAGCACCATGAGCATGGGTAAGGAAAAGGATGAATATAAGGTAGCTTCATCACGGAAAAGGCCACCTTGCTGTGGTAATGGCTCAGGAAAAAAAAAATGCACCCCTTGAGTGCCCTGCACAGCTTGGATTGAGTTCCAGGGAAAGACTTCATGAATAGAGGAACTTCTGAGCTTCTGGAGTCTGGTAACTTGAATTAGCTTACTGAGATTTTATAAGCCCCGCTCCTGGAGGATTCCAGGACATGTTTCAATTTCAAGGAAATAGCTACACATAAAATAGTCACTAGCTGTGATCACCCTCACCCCAAATAAACAATATGGAGCTTATTCACAAAATGCTAAAGAGTCCTTATATTTTGTATAAAGGATATTAAATTGAGAAGCAAAATTTTGTCAGGAGCCAGTTAGTAATTCTGACCATAGAGGTGTCACTTTAGAAATGTTTAAAGCCATGCTGATTGTTACTAAGAATCCACATGCAGACAAGAATTGGAATTGCCTCATAAGCTTGACAGGTACTTTTTAAAAAATTTGTAAAGTTCCTAGTGTTCTTTAACTTTTTTATAAAATTAAATACTGTATATTGATAAGTTTTTCTACCATAACCCCTCCTTTTCCCACTTTTTTGCTCCTTGTACCTGTGTTTCCTAGACAGTTTCATTCTTTCCTTATGTCGTTTACATACATGATTTTATGTACCATTAAAACATCTAGGAACCATCGTATTTGTCTCTCTGAAGATGGCTTAATTCACTTAACATGATTATTTCCAGTTGTATCAGTTTTCCTGAAAACATGACTTTGTTCTTCTTTATGGCTGAAACAAATTCAGTATGTGTACCATGTGTTCTTTGTCCTGTCTACTACTAGAGGATACCTAGGTTGGTTCCAGAACTTAGCTAAGTACTTTATAGACGTTGTGCAGGGATCTCTGTGATACTCTGACTTGGAGTCTGTTTGAAAGCCCAGGAGCCGTATCTGGCTCATATGGTAAATCTAGCCTTGGTTTTTTGAGAAACCTTTGTACTGGCTTTTATTCATCTGAACTATTTTACATTTCTACCAAAAGTGTATCAGGCTTCCCTTTTATTTACATCTCTGCCAACATTCATTGTTACCTCTTCTCATTTCTTTTCTTCTTTTTTCTGTGCTCTCTTTATTTTTACTATAGTATTTTTATCATTTTAGAATTCTGTACATGAGCACAATATTTTGATTGTAGTCACCCTAGCCTTCCCCTTAACTCTTACATTCGTCCCCTACCCTCTCCCTTTTAAACGTCATAATCTCTTTAGTAGTCTAATAACCCACTGAGTCTAATCTGTGCTGTCCATCTACCTGAGCATGGTTCTCTGACCAGAGACCATGCCCTTAAACATTGACCTGTCTTTGCCCAACAACAATCACCTAGGCCTGAGGGCTGAAATGTTGACAGGTTTGAGACTGTACAGGGATCTACAGCTGCTGTGAGCTCATAAACACAGTAGTCTTCTCGTGTCCAGGAGATACTGTTGTGCTTGGATTCCTCCCCAGTCTCCTTCATCTTACAGTCTTTCTGCCCTCTTTCTTGAGGTCCCTGAACCTTGTGGGTAGAGGATGTGATACAGATGTTCCATTTATGACCAAGTACTCCACAGATACTTTATTCTCTACATGTTGAATGATCATGAGGCTCCGCCCCCAAGAATCTTCTCTGATGAGGACTGAGAGCTGCACCAACCTATGGATAGGTATAGAGACACAAATTTATAAGGAACTTTGATACTATGTCCATTTAGTCCACTATACCAACAGTATAATTAGCAGTAATCGCCTTATCCCTATATCTATAATCTCCCCAGTCATGGGTTATTAGCCAGATTTGCAGTACTAGGTATGTGTTTCCTCCTGTGGCATGGGCCTTAAATTCATGTTTCCTTAGAATATCCTGGTGTTTCACCTCCCCCTTTAATATACGGTGTTTTAAGCAACTTCATTCCAAGATTCAAGGTTTTGATCTCATGAGAAACTACTACAGATTACCCAGTTAAATGTTTCCTTTGCTATACAATATCTTTTTATTTCATGAAGCCTCATTTGTCAACAGTTGTTATTATTTCCTCTGCAACTGTAGACATATCAAGAGTACTTGTTGTAACTTAATGTGTTTTCCTCTAAAGGTTTTAGGATTTGAGATATTTATTAATACCCACATTTATTTTATTTATTTATTGGATTTATATTTGATTTCTGATTTATCAGAATTGATTTCTATATAAGACAAGAGACAGAAATCCAGTTTCATACTCTGTATACATATTTTCCAGCACTATTTGTGGAAGAAATTGTCTTTTTAATATATGTACTTTTGACTTTTTTGTCAAAAATAAGATGGCTATAGGTGGCTTATATTTATTGCATTGCATGTGTGTATTTGTGCCAGTATTGTGCTGTTTTATTACTGTGACACAGTAGTATAACTATTGTGTTTTAGTGGTAATATCAGCATTATTCTTTTACTTAGGATTGCTTTGGCTATCCAAAGTCTTTTATGCTTCCATATGAATTTTAAGATTTTTTTATTCTATTTCTGTGACATATGGTTTTGTAATTTTGATTGAGATTTCATTAAACTGATAGGTTGCTTTTGCTAAGATAGTCATTTTCATATTACTTCTTTCAATTCATGACATGGGAGGCCTTTCCATCTACTAGTATCTTCTTCAATTACTTTATTCAGTATAGAAAAGTTCTCAATGTAGAGGGCTTTCCCTTCCCTTTTTCTTTTATTGAGGCAACTGTGAATAGCATTATTTCCTTAGTTTATTTCTCAATGTGTTTGTTCAAGGTGAGTGCAAATTACCAGTGTAAATAGCCCCTCAGTTTTGCTTTATACAGAAATCAAATAAATTCATTGTTTCATCAAGGTGGAATTTGGTCTACATGTACTTTGATATCTATTTGTGTCCTCTCTAGAGTAAATAATGTTTGTTCATGTCTTCCCAGGCAATGCTAACACAATAGTTTACTAGATTAAGACTTTTCTGGTAGAGTCTTCAGGGTTCCTTATGTGCAGAATCATCTTTTGTAAATAAAGATGTTGAGCTTATTACTTTTATTTGGCTCTCTTGTCTCACTGTTATCTCGAGGACTTCAAGCCCTACATTGATTGAGTAGAGAAAGTGGCTCTCCATGAGCCTGTGTGTGCTCTATAGTTTTATTCTACTATCGTCAGATAGAATGCAAGAGATTATTTTGATTTTCATATATTTGCTAATACTTGCTTGGGTCCTATTAGGTAATCTATGATTTTTTTCTTTGGTTTCTTTGAATATACTTACAATCATTCTTTTAAATTCTTTGAGATTTCATTAAATTCACTCTCATTGGAAGCTATTATTATGAGAGTCATGATTTTTTGGAGTAATGTGAATTTCCAGATTGTTGTCTTTTGTTTTGAAACATATAAATCTGGGATTGTATTGTGGGTAGATGTGGTAATTTGAATGAGAAATGTCCTATATGGGCTCATATATCTGAATAATTCGTCCAAGTGGTGGCACT